GGGTCGGCCTGCGGTCCCGATTTTCATTGGCAGGCCCACGGATCTGGCCGGCCCGTTCGTCTTGACACCTCTACATTTGTAGACATAAATAAATAAATAAAATAAAAAATAATGGGTTGGTTCGATTTGAATAACCCAATTAAGTTTTACTAAATTAAAGCCTACTAAGGCCCATAAAATTTTAAGGGCCCATCCCACTATTTGAAAATCTACAATTATTCAATTGTAATCAACTTAATTGAATTAATTGAGTGGCTACCAAAATTGCCCAATAATTTCTCGTATAAATAGGATCAAAGGTCCATTGCAAAGGAAAGCAAAAGTGAAGAAGAAAACCAAGAAGTGTTGAAGAAATCCCAAAACTGAAAGAAGAGAAGAAATCATCTCAACCCCAAATTCGACGAACACGAAGAAGATCAAAATCTTTTTCAAGTCAAACAAACCCAAGAAGATCAAAATCTNATCTCAAAACAGAAGGAAGAGAAGAAATCCTCTCAACTCCAAGTCCGATGAACACGAAGAAGATCAAAATCTTCTTCAAATCAAACAAACCCAAGAAGATCAAAATCTTCTTCGAATTAAATCAAGATCAAGCCCAAGTTTTGAAATGCAAATCCAAGCTTCAAAATTCAAGTGTCAACGAGTCAAATTTTTGACAAATCAAATTCTCAACAAATCTCGAAGTCTAGGATTCAAACAACGTGGGTCATGTCTTCAAACATTCAGATAATTAAACAGAGAGTTTTAGCAATTTTACAATTACAAGAAGATTCATATCTATTTGTATTTCTCAAAATACAATTTGTAATGATTTCTATATTTTAATACGCGAAATACGTCGTACACACACTCAACGCCATAGAGATTGAACGGCTCCAAGAGGTTTAATTATCTCCATTGAAGATTTCAGAAACAATCAGTGCACCATGATTGTCACTGGGATGTAGATAGTAATGGCTAGTTGGATCATCAGTAGGATTGAAAAGAGAATTGATTTGGCTCGTCATATTGCGAGTGAAGTATTGATGAATGAATAAAAGAATTTGATAAAGCTGTATTACCATGTTAAATTCATCAACTCAGAAATGTAAAATAGAAGAAGATAATCTGATGAAGAGAAATGGGAAGAAATTAGTATTCAAGCTTGATAAAATTTGTGATACATTACATCATTTATAGGCAAAGGATGCCACTGGATTAACGGAAATAACAGTAAACTAACTAACTAAATTAACTTCCTTACTGACTAACTAATCAACTGAATTATTTGATTCTCCAACTTCTTCTGGTACTGTTCGTTTTGCTGCTGTTGTATTGTAAGACAGCAACCCTAGAGACTTAACTAATCCTTGTAGCTTACTTGGCAAGGTCATGATGAACTTACAGTCATAATGCTTAAACCACTCATGAACCTACCTTCACTATGCGAACCTGCATAAATAGGAAATACATGACACGAGCCACCTCCAACAATACAGAGAAGGAAATTTTACTTGGATTTGCCAATAAAATATACATATGTAGTTTTGGTTATCCATTAGCCACTAATGGCTGGTAAAATTAGCTGAAATTTGCCTAAAGTTAGATATATTATATCTCAATTTAACGTATCTAATTCTTGGCAATAAAAAAAAAGGGAATCTGTGTCAACAACTAAGTTATTATCTTTCTTGCTATATTTAATTTTTCATTTGAAACACAAATTCAATCATGTATATTACTTATTTAATTCTATTCAACATTGTCCAATCAATTGTGCCTTACATTTTTCACCCCTTGGTGTGCCCCCTTATTTGGTAAGGATTAAAATCAGATTTTTAGTAGATTTTGACAGAAATTGATGAAATGTGTGATTGATAAGTTATGGATCGCATAAAATATGTGATTAAAATTAAACTTTTAATTCCTACCAATCAGTAAATGGCCGGCATGCTGATTTATATTAGGTATGCTTTTGAGAGTACAAACATAGCTTGCAAATACTCTTTTCAGGTCAATGCAAAGGCTAGCTTTTTACCCATATATCTCTACTAATATAAAAGAGTAAATCCGCAGTTCACTATTCATTTCTGAAGCATTTTGCCTTCCCATTTTATCCCCACTAATTAATGTTTTTTCCCATTTTATCCTCATTATTTACTATTCATTTGTGAAACAGTTTTCATCCTGATCTTATCAAAACAAAATGGTAATATAGAGTTTTTACTTACCCACAATTGTTGACTGAAATGACTGTGAAAGACAAGCGAAAAAAAATAAGAATTTTTTTTTCAACTTATCGAATTTTCAATGAAGTTACTGGTTTTACAC